GAATACATTTGAATATACATCAGAGTTAATATAACATTTGTGTTCTTCATTGACAGATGGGCCCTTTACGCCCCCTTCCTTTTTCCAAACACCACGTTTGTGCCCCTAAGAAAAATCGTTAGGGGATCAATGTTGCTATTTGAAGGATATTTTCCATTCCAGCGGAGAACAGGGAAAATTGGTGTTAGGTGACATCTACTGACTGACGGAAGGTACCACAGCTCTGCTTTCCACAGAAACCCAAAAGCAAGTCTTGTTGTTGTTTTTAGAATGCTTTCCCCTTTTCACAGGAATAAACGGATAGCCATCAGCTTGCTGGGTTTTCTTTTTGTGTGCTGGGTACGTCCTTAGTGGACTGGGCTCCAAGACCACACGGTTGCAAACACTTTTGATTTTTTTTTTGCTTGTGGTTTCAGGCAGGATGCTATCAGTAACTTCCTAGCAGCAGCACCGTTCCCTAAAGGTTATTCATCTAAAGCAGAAATGGGCAGTCTTTTTTCCACTGAGGGCCACTTTCCCGTGGAAGTAATCTGTCAGGGGCCACGTGTCAGCAATGGGCAAGATCAGAGCCAAAAACAAAGATACCTGCGTTTTTAAAAATGTACATGCTAAAAAATGCAAAAGCAAATTCAATGTGATGTTTAGTGTTGGTCCTTGGAGGGAATGCCTGTTCTAAGCTGGTACTTGCCGTATGCGGTTTTCATAAGTACTTCCATGAAATTAAAGCGATTTCCCCCAAAAAATGATAAATCCGGTGCCCTATTCAATGTGGGCATATTCTTAGTCAATCAAAACATTGGAAGCAATCGATTGGCTCGATCGCCTAAGCCATGGGTAGGCAAACTAAGGCCCAGGGGACGGATCCGGCCCAATTACCTTCTAAATCCGGCCCGCGGATGGTCTGGGAATCAGCATGTTTTTACATCAGTAGAATGTGCCCTTTTATTTAAAATGCATCTCTGGGTTATTTGTGGGGCATAGGAATTCGTTCATTTCCCCCCCTTCAAAATATAGTCTGGCCCCCCACAAGGTCTGAGGGACAGTGTACCGGTCCCCTGCTGAAAAAGTTTGCTGACCCCTGGAATTGCAGCCCACTTTTTATTTAATAACATAGTCTAATGGATTTTCTGGGGGGAAAATCTGAGCAGTTGTAATGGCTTAAGCACCCAGCTATGCCAACCCCAATGCACTGGATTTTGTGGCTGAGGTGAGCATAGATGCCTGCGCGCCATTGTGCACTTGAAGGGAGCTTAAAAGCCTGAAACGGAACTCCATACAATGCCGCCCGACTGCCAAACATTACACCCACAGTATGTTAAGCGAAAAGAAGTGACTAAACACAGCTTTCTCTCTGTTTGGAGGGGTTTGGCAGACTGGCACAAATTGGAAGGCTGTGGTGGGCAGATTTGTTCCAGCTATTTTTTGATTTTATGCAAATAGCAGAATGCAGAATGCCAAACTATCTCCGGCTGTGACTGACAGCGCTGACAGTCCCACATTGCAATGACATCTGGGGAAGTGCGAGAAGGGGGGGGGGAGGAAAACCACTCTGTTTCCTTTAATAGAAAATATAAAGGACAATCATGGAAGACGAGATAGTGCTGGTGGGTGCTGAACATGAATAATCTCAACCTATCTGTGCAGCGTCTGCCAAATCGAAAAGACACACACCATGATGTTTCCTACTAATGAGACATTTAGGAACAGAGTTTAACTTCTTCAGTCCAAGAGCCTCCAGATTGCTGGGTGAGAAGTCTGGGTATTGTAGTCAACCCAAGATTCCCTGTTTTAGAATTTAGGAGGCTGCCTTACACGGAGTCAGACCCATTGGTCCATGTAGCTCAATATTGTTGGCACTGACCAGCAGGTGCTCCCTAGGGTTTCAGAAAGTAGTCTATCCCCCTACCTGGATTGAGCCTTGGTCCTTCTGCATGGAAAGCAGATGCTCTGAGCTACAACCCTTTTCTCAGCCTCACCCGCATCTCCGTGTGAACCTCTGCCTTTGGCTTGGTGTGTTAGCATCAGATGGGCAACAGTCAACCAACCAACCAACCAAACAAACTGTTGGTACTTAGGCAAAGGCCATGTCATGGACTGGTTGGATTGGAAACTATCTGGTGGGGGGAACCATCTGGAGGACCGTCAAGGGAAGAAGGATACGTCTCCCAAACTGGACCGGATTTAGGCTTGATGAGGCCCTAAGCTAGTGAAGGTAATGGGGCCCTTTATATGTCCAGCTGTCCTTTGTCAAGAACAAATCGTTGCTGTTTTTTATTGTTGTTGAATATATGCTATATGGTAATTTATGGACCTAATAGGTCCATACACAACACAAAACACTGTTGCTGTATGTAGGTTTTATTTTATTTGTTTTTATTTTATATTTTGGAAATGTGTGTGTGTTTTTAAATGGGGAGGGGGCAAGAGAGTGGGACCCTAAGCTATAGCGTGTTTAGCTTATATGCAAATCCGGCACTGCTCCCAAAGACAACTCTGCTATAAATACCAAACGGGCATGGGAGAAATTGTCCAGGGTAGAGGAGTTGGGCGGAGATAAATATGATGATGATGATGATGATTTCAATTTATACACTGCCCTATACCTGGAGGTCTCAGGGCGGTTCACAAACAAGACCACAACATACAAAATCAAGCCAAAAACAATAACCCAAGAGAAAACACCCCGAAAAGAGCCACATTCTAAAAGGGTGTTGGATGTCAATAAGATCAATCAAAGGCCTCAAGGTTTACAGTGGTACCTCGGGTTAAGAACTTAATTCATTCTGGAGGTCCGTTCTTAACCTGAGGTACCACTTTAGCTAATGGTGCCTCCCGCTGCCGCTGTTCTCATCCTGAAGCAAAGTTCTTAACCTGAGGTACTATTTCTGGGTTAGCGGAGTCCGTAACATGAAGCGTCTGTAACCTGAAGAGTCTGTAACCCGAGGTACCACTGTATAATGAAGACGCCAGGCAAACTTCCCTGGGGAGAGCATTCCATAGATGGGGAACCACTGCAGAGAAGGCTCGTTCTCGTGTTGCTACCCTCCAGACCTCTTGAGGAGGCAGCACATGAAGGAGAGCCTTGGAAGATGATCTCAGGGTCCGGGTAAGTCCTTGAGGTATTGCAGTCTTGAGCCGTTTAATAAGTAAGGAACTTAGAAGGAAATGCTTAGGGATGAATGTACATATTTTGGGGACAACTAAAGCCAAAAGCAAAACACAAACATAACCCTGGTGCTGGAATGTGATGAAGTGATAACAGAGGCATCTGCTAGTTAGATTTATGCCTGAGCAGCTTAGGAGGGATTTGATGTGCATTTATTATTTTTGAAATCCATAACGTTCTTATCTCTTCCAACTCATGAACGTATGTGCTGCTGCGGGAACATGTGAGAATGTGCGACATCAATCAGTTTAAGAGCCATATACATTTGCAAAAGAGTCCAGACTTTCCAGACAAGGGAAGGCAAAGATCTCCCTCTTCTAGCAGAAGAACGCTACAAGGCATTATTAGAATCAAGTTTCGGGACCAGATCTCTAGAGGTTCACAGCTGACGTCACTGACTTGACTTCAGGCCCTCGTGCCTTAATTAAAGCATGGCACTTCCACCATTTTCCTGCTAGGCACGGCCCTCGATGTCACAGAGTCAATGGGCTCAGTGCCAGGAGCATGCCCTGTGCCTGCCAGCAGTGGCAAGGTCAAGACAATTCTTTAGCACACAAGTGAAAGGCTTTGCAAGCATGGGAGAAGGCATTTCAGGTCTTTTAACATGATCATCATGTATACACTGCAAATGGCCACACATGAATGAAACACTCGCTTGTCCTTGGACATATATATTACAGAAGGGACAAAAGTTCTGGCACTGGTCCAGCACAGCTCAACACAAAAAGTAGCTCTGTTTAGGTGCCGCCATTTCTAAATCGGAACCCCTGTTTGGTTTCCTAGTGATCTGGGCTGCTTTTTGCTCTCTCTCACATGCCTCAGAGGTATTGAGGCAGCCGACACTTCTTCAGTATAACTTTCTAGCTCTTGTGAAATGCACAGTTGTAATATCTCAACGTAGCATGGCTTTGGAAAGTCCGCACAGAGCAGCATAGCTGAGCTCCTGCGGTTCAGGTCACGCCACTGTTCACTTCTGCTACAGCCCCACGGGCCAGCCGTCTGGGTGGAATTCAAGTCAACAGAGATCCACTGACTGAATGAATGATTTGCCAACACTGGCTCGGCGATATACATTCCTGAGCAAAAGCTCAGAATATCCCCGGTGTACCAGTAAAATGCACGGCTCTGCACCTACTAAGGATGTATAGAGAGCTGGTACCAGAATTTGGGTGATGTGGAAAGGGTTCCAGAAATGACAGGGCCCAGGGAGAAGATAGATAGATGATAGATAGATAGATAGATAGATAGACACTCTCCAAGTGTTCCTGTATCTTCATTTCCCCACCTAGTAAAACCTTCCCACAGGGGCTGTCTGTAGCGCAGACCCTCCAAGTCTCCCTATTTTCCAGGGACAGTCACGGATATACAGAAGCTGTCCTGGTTTCTGATTTGATCCCGGAATGTCCGCTTTTCCTTAGAAAAAAAATGTTGTAGGATATGGTAGGACGTCCCTATTTTCACCAGAGAAGTGTTGGAGGGTATGGAATAGGACATCCCTATTGTCACTAGAGAAATTTTGAAGGGGACGTCTCTATTTTCATGGGAGAAATGTTGAAGGGTATGTAGATCGAAAGATACAGATATGGATAGATTGATCGATCTCCCAACTTACTTTCCCCTTCATTCTCTGTTCAGCTCCCAAATATATTTGTTTTTAATATTTTATTTTCAAATTTTATAATCAGAATAATGCATAAATTCAATACTTTCCCAAAAATACAATATAGACTCCCTCCCCCCACCCCTCTCCTGGATTCCAATTTTCTCCCCCATAATTTCTTGCATCTCATTTTATTTCTCCAAACTCTGTTTTCCCTCTTATTTATCTTAATTTCCGATTGTATAATTACATAAACGTTGTATCAAACCTGCTAACGTTTTAATATATTTACAGTGGTATTTTAGTCTATAATTTTTTTCCATTCCTGCTCAAACTTTTTCTCATCTTGATCTCTGATCTTCACAGTCATCTTTGCCATTTCGGCAAAGTCCATCATCTTAGTTATATATTCTTCTTTTGTTGGTACCTTCTTCTCTTTCCATTTCTGGGCAAGCAACATTCTTGTGGCTGTTGTCACATACATAAATAGTCTTTTTAAAGTCCCTTGGAATTCCATCAATGCACCAATTTCTGGTAAACCCACCCAAGTTCCAAATGAGTTAGAAAACACACTCACACACAGTGAAAACCAAAGTCAAACAGAAAGGGGTTAAATCAGTTTGACCCAACCTGAAGGCCTTTAGATGATGTGGACTACAACTCCCATCAGTGAACGTGACTTGTGGCGTGGTGTTCCAGTCCAAAACATATGGAGGACACTAGTTTGGGGAAGACAGGGTTAAATGTTCTCCCTGTTCCTTCTCTCATTATACTTCCTTCCTTTTGTTATACTTGGGGGGGAATCCCAAGTAGAACAGCTCTTGTGAGGGAGCTATAGACTGTAACTAATTGCAATCATCTGCTCTCAAGCACCACCCCACATAACCCAAAGAAACCCTCTAGAAGTCCCTAAAGGCCAGCAGCGTTTAAGGGAGTTCTCAAGTTATTTATTAAAATATTGTCTACTATTTATTTATATAAAATACTTGTATACCGCAATTTCATCATTAAACCACCCCATTTGCAACAATAGTAAATACACAATAAATATACAATAAAATCTACATATATATATATGAGATCACCAGCTTACAGAAAGTATTTTTAATTGCCTGCATAAGCCTGGCAGCACAAGAAAGTTTTTCAGCCAATTCTTAAAAAGATTAATATAGAAGACGTCTGCTATTGTTATGTTATCACCATGTTTTTAAAACTGCAAACACTTTTGCAGGGCAGGGCTAATGTTTTCTCCCTTGATATTAAAAAGCACCAAACTCATTGTTAGGCAAATAATATGTAGGCGTGCCGCGAAAACGAAAAGTGGCAAGAAGCCGTGGTATGAAAGGCAGCCTACTGTCTGTCGAGTCTTCTGCCGTACCATTATTCAGTCCAAAAAGAAAGTAATTTCAAAATCTAGATGCACTAAGTGCTAAAGGCTGGCTGTATGGGGAGGGAAGGGGGAATGAATGGGGACATATTGAGACTGATGGCTTTGTTGTGATGACAGTGAAGTTAATAACACAAGAGACAAGCAGCAAAATCCATTTTAGATTTCAAAATTAAACTGCGCAGCGCTGACAGCATCCTAGTGACCATTACTGGAGCTAATTTTTATCTTGTAATGACTTTGTAGATCTGACTAGACAATGAGGCACGCTACAAAACGCTCCGGAAATGCTGTTAATTACTTTGATTTGTTATTCAGTTCTCATCTCATATTATCTTCAAAGCCAATGATTCAAGGCAGCAGTATTCAACCTTTTGAGACCTAGGGCTGCTTTTGAATCCATGCACACTTTTTATTACATATTTGTCCTGTCGATCTGCTTCTTATTTTCTCTCTGGATGGGAACAGCCCCAGCCCCAGTGCTGGAGAACATACAAGGTGGTGCCAAATCTAATCCCTGGCATTTCCAGCTGAAAGGATCATGTAGTAAATGCACAGGAAGACCCTCTTCCTAAGACCCTGGACAGCGGAGGCCTGTTGGAATAGACAGCAGCAGTGGATGGGCCAACGATAGGATTCCATCCCAATCTTTTCCTTTGCACCTACCATTACTTCTTCACTGTAAAAACAACATTGAAAACTGCCTGTTTCTGCACTGGGGGAGGTCTGTAGTAGGGCTGGGAGATCTATCATCCAAAACAGGTTTGAAGTCATGGTATCAGTTTCATAATTTTTGACCTGGCAATATATCACAAATCACGATGTGTATGGGTGTGTATGCATGCAAATCACACACAATGCAGGAAAAACCATGAAGCCAGCCAGCACCTCTACAGTGGTACCTTGGTTCCCCAACGGCTTGGCTCCCAAACTAATCGGCTGCTGAATGCCACAAACCTAGAAGTGTTCCGGTTTGTGAACATTTTTTGGAAGCCGAACGTCCAACACGGCTTCCAGTTGAGTGCAGGAAGCTCCAGCAGCCAATTGGAAGCCACACCTGGGTTTTTGAACAGTTTTGGGAGTCGAATGGACTCCCGGAAAGGATTACGTTCGACAGCCAAGGTACCACTGTAGCTAGCTCTATCCTATTTCAGACACTGTGATGTATCAGTATATTGCAATGTTTAGCTGGTGATATCTTGTGATGTTGAAGACCAGTTATCGAGCAGCCCTAGTCTGTACTTCAGTGGTAGAATATCTGCTTTGCCTGCAGAAGATCCCAGGATTCAGTCCCTGGCATCTCAAGGAAAGGCTGGGAAAGATTCTCTCTCTGAAACCCTGGAGAGCTGCTGCCAGCCAGTGTAATTAATGCTGAGCTAAATGGACCAATGGTCTCCCTATAGCTTCATACAGTCCGAAATGGCAAAATTTAATGGCGGTTGTACGCATGCTGAGTGGCTGGGGGTGGAAAGCTTGTGAGTGCGGGAAGAGATCCTGTGGGGAGGCTGCCTCTCTGCGCCTCTCTCTCACTCTGCTCTGAGGGTTGCCATGGCGTCAAGGTTACTGCAGGTGTGCGGGGCCCTGCGAGGCCTCAGCGCGGGCCGGAGTCCCCTGGGCCGGGGGCCGCTGCGCCTGACAGGGGCCGCCTGCTCCATGGGCGCCGGAGGTATTCCCAGTGATGAAGAACAGGCTACAGGAATGGAGAGGAAAACCATGAAAGCTTTAGAGAAGGGGCTGGATCCTTACAACATGCTACCACCCAAACGATATGCTGGAACAAAGGAAGACCCCAACATAGTCCCTTCAATTACAGACAAGAGGCTTGTGGGCTGCATCTGTGAAGAGGACAACAGCACTGTGATCTGGTTCTGGCTGCACAAGGGAAATCCCCAGCGCTGCCCCTCCTGTGGAGCCCATTACAAGTTGGTTGGCTACCAATTGCCCTGATTTGGCTTCAAAGCTTTGCTGAGCTCTCTCCATTTATGATTTCTGGATACAGGGCTGAGCTACGTAGCTGTTTATGTCACGATGTATCACATTCCTTGAAACCTAATAAAGTCTTTGACTCATTGTGTGGGAAAAAAAAAAAGGAAAGCTTGTGAGTGTGGACCTGCCCTTCAGAATTGGCCCCTGAAGCTTCAGGGAAGTGCCAGAAGACACCTGTATGGCTGGGTCCTCAACAGTCCGCTTTAAAGCTCTGTGAGAATTTGAGTCCAGGCCTTTCCACCTCAAATGCTCATTCCACAAGTCTACATGTATCCCAACAGCAAAGCGGGAGATTAATGCAGCTGGCATACGCAAACGGCACATTCAGAGCAGGAGATCGCTCTGAAGATTATCTCGCACAGCTCTGCACAACTTTATATTTCCTTTCTTCGGCTTCCATGTGTCTGCTTTATAATGTAGAATCACAGCAGTGAAGGAAATTGTTACTGCCTGCGCTATTTAATGGTCTGAAATTCTTTCCACAAAAAGGCACTTTTAGGATCGGTTATAAAAATACAGAAAGACTTATACTGTATATTGATATAGATGCCGATTCAGAATATACTACTGAGATGTTTACTTTGACTTGAGAATACAAACAAGCCAGAAAAAAAGTCTGGAACCAAAGGATTTCCCAAAAGCAGAAGAAAAGCACTTCTTTTTGTTGTTGTTTCACCCCCTGCCCCAAAGTAGCTTAACAAAAATTAAAAAATCATGGATTTATACATTCATCCCTAATCTAATACACCAATGCATCCAAGTCAATAAATCATGCTAAATGTATCAGTACACTAACTTTGCTCACGAGATCTAGACTCCTGAGCTAAAATTATGAACACTACTCATCAGCATGCAGGCCATACGTTATTTCTTCTGCAAGTCAAGGAGGTACATATATAGGGCTCTCTGTGCACATTTATTCTGCTAACATTTAAAACACAACTTTGTGAAAATTCACTGTCCTTTGCCTGGCAAGATCTGTGCCTTATGAATAAACAAATGGATCAAATTCTGCTCTTGGTTACGTTACCATAAATCCAAAAAATTGCAGTTGACTGCAGTGGCGCTACTGTTTTATTAACGTCCAGAATTATGCCCTAGGAGATTCTCTTTTTCACATCCCATTATTAAGCAAATGAAACACATAAGAAGTTGCTATCCAGCGTACACTTCCTTGGGAGTAAATCTCACTGAACTCAGTGAGACTTATTTCTGAGTAGGCATGCATGGGAGCAAGCAATAAGTAAGTTATCTAATGGTAATTTTAAAAAGAGCCATCTATTTTCCTCTGCTATTTCACGACTTCCCGGGATGCTTGGGATTGCACAGAATTAACTGTCATTGGGTTTGTTTACAAATTCCCAGAGCGCTCAAAGGCAAGGCATACTAGCTAGACAGCTTGATTTGTATATACTTTAGTTGCAAATAGAAAAGGGGGGAATTTTTTAACACATTTTCTTTTTTTAAAACCTTGGCTGCTAGCTTTCCCCAGTTAAGAGGAGGTATGCCTCAATCCATTAACTGTTTTCTTACGTTTGTGACTGCACCGGCGCAAATCCACGGTTTTCCTGTGTAGGTAGATAAGACCCATCTACAAATGTGTCTAATCTGTGACCTGGTTTATCAGAGACATGATGCCTTAATGAAATCTCTGTTTTCAAAGGATGCGTGCCACTAAGTCAGCCTTCTCCAGCTTTGTGTACCCAGGTTTTCCTGGACCTCAACTCCCATCATCCCAAGCCAACATGGCCAATGGTCATGGATGGTGGGGGTTGTAGTCCAGCAATTTGCAGTGGGTCTTAGCAGATTCCCACCTGTATTGATTTAACTATCTTTAAAAAGGAATCCTTCACAGAGTCAATGGAAATATAGGAATGGATGGGGAAAGTATCAGGAATTAAAAAAAGTATCTAACTGTGAGCAGCAAAGAAGGGATGGAAAAGGAGCACCATGAAAGACGGGTGGAAAGTCAGCTTTGAAATTAGTGTTAAATTTGAATTAATTTGTTAAAAATTTGAAAAACTAATTAAAATTAACTGGCAAAAATAATTAAATAAAAAAGGAAGCCTTCTGTCAAGAATCCAAAAACAAAGAAGGACCTGCATCAATCTACGACCCACGCAAGAACAGAAATGGCAAGAGGTATATAGACTGTGTATTTTCTTGATGAAGTCTGTTATTTTTAAATAATAGAGCCTTTTTCTCAAAGTACATTCAGAAACCAAGAGCCTGATACCATCTCAAAACTTACAGATTTATGACGGTATGTGATTTTGAGTGTGCGTCATGCATCTGATAGCATAGACTCCAGCCCATAAAAAGATTAAGCAGCAATAAATCTTGTTTAAATTGAACATGTGACAGCTCCTGGTGTTTTTGTTGCAGTAGACCAACTTGACCACCCATGTGGAATTTGGTACATTCTGAAATCATGAGGGGGAGCCTTTTTCAAGAAAAATGTAGAGCTGCAAAGTTCAAAATCTATTGAGCCATGAAAATAAAACTGGTCTCCTAAAGCAGCTTTTGATATTTTCATCCAGCTTCTCTTGGATCTTTTCAGTCATTAGCATTGCGTTTGTACTACAGATGAACAGGTTGCAGCTGCCTTGGGTTTAATTGCTAAGAAAAGGGAGCAATGAAAAAGGTGTGGTAGCAGTATTTTATTACATTTTTGTACAACAAAACCTAAATTGTGTGGATGGTTTCAGCCGAGAACAAAGACCTATTCTCTTTCTACACGGCTGTTCTTTGGGTTTTACCTTGAAAAAGAGCCCCAGCCATTCAGGGTAAAATAGTGGGTTGCCAAATAATCCACACAAGCTGTCCACCCTGGCCTGAAAAATAAAGCTTAATTTTATACAGAATTCATTCATTTAATAAAAACTCTTTCAGCATTCATAATAAAAATATTAACAAACAGGTTGCAAATATTGTATAGAACACTCATTTTTATACACATTGGCTGTACAGAAGTTTGGGTATTTTGGAAATACTGTGTACTACTGGAGGGGAAAACAGCAGAGGAATAAAGGATTATGTTTTCAGAAAATACTTATTTCCCTGCCCAACAAATAGTATCAGCTGCCATAATGAGAAAGAGAGAAAGCATATTTCAGTTTCTCATTGCCAACATGGCATTTATGTCCCAAATGAGATTCCGTAATTGATCCATAATTTGCTTCAGCTGTTGATTCTTCTGTTTCAGTTTCTGCGGAAAGAAAAAGTTTGTCAACACTGGCGTCTAGTCAGGTTACGTATTCTGAATTTAAATTGGGGGGGTGGGGGTGGCAGGGCATAGGGCAGCACAGAGATCTACTACAGGAAACCCCAAATTTGCCACCGAGGTTGCATTCCAGGTCATCGTGCACATAAGCCCATCCTGTCCCCTTCTGGGTCCAAAAATGGCGGGCGCATGCACAAACACATGCAAAACAGGGGGTGCCTGTACTTAGTGCCAAAGAAGCGTATGGGCAATTGTATATTGAGGAGTTGGTGATCTGACATGGTTACCCTTCCTGCCTCTGTTCCTTCCCTCTCCCTGTCCCTTGTTAAGTTCTTTAATGGCATGAGAACAGCCTTTAATGTCCTAATCAGTTGGGAGGAAGTGACAGCACTGGGCACCTTCTTTGATGTTGGACATTTTTTTGAGAAAGTGAGGCACTGGGAGGGGTGGCCAATGAATGATCTGCACACAGTCAGCTGGGCAAGCCACATGGGCTAGCTATCTATAAATCAGATGGTTGTGGGCAGAGTGTTGGAGAAGCTCGTGCACGGACTGATCGGCTGCGGGGGCGTGCAAACTGAGGCTACCTGGGGGAGTCACTTTGCCGCTTCTTGAGGGCTTCCAAGTGGCAGACTGAAGTGCTTGCTTGGTATGTATCTATTGCTTGTTGTCTAGAATAAAACCTTTAATCTTCTCACTCACTTGCGTTTTGTATTACTTCTGAATCTCATTTTAAAAGAACCACCGTGCATTTGGCAAGACAAGAAGCACATCAAGGTGGAAGGCCCTAGATTAATGACAGATGTTGACAGAAAATAGCAGTCAGTCAGGGCACACTGTAGCGGATTCCCCCAACCTGCTGTCATCTGGATGTTTTGTATTACGACACTCATCATCCTGGACAGTTGGCTATACTGAATGGGGCCGATGGGTGTTCTGGTCCAAGACATGTGGAGAACACCAGGTTGGGGGAGATTTCATTATAGGAACATTCTCTTTCGGCGCATCCTTCCCCATCTTCCTTCTGCGGACAAGGTCACTTCCATGTACACCAATGGAAAAGGGCAACACGCACCTCATTCTTCTTGCAGTATTGTATTTCCATATTACTAAGCAGACCTGGGTCCAGATTCCAGAGGAGCAGGTCTTTCGATATGAAGCTAATGTACACTGCATAGGAATAATGTTCAAGCATTGGGAAGATTGCTAGTGGTGGGTGAAGCCATGGAGAAAGAGCCGTGCCAGCTTGCCAAATAGCTTTGCCAATACACTTCGAGCTTGATTTACAGCTGAAACGAATCCCCTTGAGCGAAAACGTCTAATAGTGCTGAATTCTATTAAGCTCCAAGAGGTCCGCATATAAATCTTAGGAAACCCCAAATTTGCCACCGAGGTTGCATTCCAGGTCATCGTGCACATAAGCCCATCCTGCCCCCTTCTGGGTCCAAAAATGGCGGGCGCATGCACAAACACATGCAAAACAGGGGGTGCCTGTACTTAGTGCCAAAGAAGCATATGGGCAATTGTATATTGAGGAGTTGGTGATCTGACATGGTTACCCTTCCTGCCTCTGTTCCTTCCCTCTCCCTTGTTAAGTTCTATAATAATGCACTTCCTGTCCCTTGTTATGTTCTATAATAATGCACTTGTTAAGTTCTATAATAATGTACTTCTATAATAATGCACTCCCAATTCTGCCCACCAGTGCCTTCACTGATAACACAAGGAACTTGCACCTGCACTTGCCTATTGTTTTAGCTGATAGCCACCAGTTTGTGCAAACCTAGCATATAACTTGGTGTTGCCATGAATTAAAACAGTTGCTCCAAAGCTGTATTTTACATGGCTGTGAAAGGCTTATCAAAGAGCTTTCAGTGTTGCCAAGAGGAGGAATTATTGCTCTGCCTATACATTCATGGTGACTGAACACCAAGTATGTACAGAGGCGTTTGCAATTTCTGTTTCACAGTGTGATGTCACTTAGGCCTTTTGACATAAAGAATTTAATCCTCATTTTCCCCCCTCCTGGAGCCATTTTTTTTTATTCAGCCAGAATCTAATAAAGTTCAACTTGGTTTGGCTGAATAGCATTTTGCCTCCTATGTTAGCAAGCGCAATGTGGATTTGCTGTAGAAGATAGGAGCCATGCCAACTCAGGGACATTGCGCATGATGAATGTGCTTCCTGGGGTGCAACTCTTCAGATCTGAGTGCTACATACTGCACGGCTTTGCCTCCAAAATACCTCTCTGGGATTTTCTCTGGACTGTAAAAAAGAACTCTGCACCATGCTGTGACTTTTAAACTTCCAATGCTTTTAATTTTTTTGGAACACTCAACACAGTTCACACAGTGTGGAGAAAACACTTTTGAGCACTGCAGTGCACTCCATAGCTGCTACTGATGCTGCCAAGGCCACACTGGACGCATTTCAAGCATATTCCATATTACAGGTTACACCCAATACCACATGCTTTAAAAAGAAAAAGGAAGCTTCAAGCCCTTTGTGCAAAACTGGCTGGTTCATTATATATATGTCTCTCACAGCTGCTTCTGATTTGCCAAATATACAGAATGTACCCAAAGGAAAATGGCACCTAGCTGAGTTATCATTCTCAAACTGAGCATCAGGGAAGTGGATTAGAAGACACCCCGTTGCTTGAGGATCCAAGGACAGGGGATTCTCTGCCTAGGCGGAAAGAGGCGAATGGTTTCATCCCCCAAAGGGAGGACTATATTTAGGTTATTGGGCTAAACAGCTTTGAAGAGCCGCAGTTGAATGGCAGAGCACCTGCCTTGCATGTCGAAGGTCACAGGCTCAATCCCTGTCATCTCCAGGTAGGGCTTGGAATGTCCCATGTCTGGAATCCTGGAGCGCCACTGCCAGTCATTGTAGATAATAATGAGCTATATGGACCAATTGGTCTAAGGCAGCTTCCTATGGCGCTCTGAAGTGTTCCAGACAGCAAGACAGACAGTCCAGTCCCTGGCATCTCTAGCTGAAATGTTGCTGGTAAAACAGGCCTAGGAGAAACCTCTGCCTTAGTCCATGGACTACAAGTCAGTAACAGAAAACACTGGGCTAGGTGACCAAAAAGTCCGATTCAGTATTATCACTATTCCACTGCACAAGAAAGCACAAAACTGCCCTTATTCACAGCACCGGAAGAAGTTCTTTACACTCATGCAACGCTAAATTCTGCAAACCACACATACCAAACGCCTGCCCTGGACTAGAGTCTGGATGGGCGTTACAAGTTGTCCCACACAAACCGCTGAACGCAGTAACCTGATCAGGAACTGCCACAGAACTCAACTCACTTGCACATCCTGAAAGTGCAAAAGAAAAGGGAGCAGAGAAAGGGCAAAAAGGGGAGAAACCGTTTGAAAAAGAGATCCACCATAGTACATGCCCCATTGTTACAGACCAGAGGACTGAAGGGAACCAGCTGCTTTGCACAGTTCGTCTATCTGCTTGTAGCGGTACAAGCACTGCTATAGCAGCAAATCCTTGACAAGGCAGCACTTGCGTCTGGGAAGCAGGCCTCCCTTTGTAAACTGCAAGGGAATGGTGACTGATCACAGGGCAGAATGCTCCCAGCTTCTCATCCAGGCTCTTAACTAAATCATTTTAGTTGGGGATCCTGACCGTTAGTACTTGAAGATTCAGTGGGTATAGTCAATGCCTTGATGAATTAGCAAGTCCTCAAGAACTCCCCTCAAACACAGCTGAAGAGCCTTAAGAGGATGCCATCACGGCCAACACAGGAAAGCAGATGCTGGATCACGCCTTTAGCCTGTCCTCAAATAGTTGGCATTCAAGTCCCTTTGCCTTTCCTGCAGCTCTGCTTTGAATCCTTTTTCTGTTTGTCAGCAGTGACCTTTTGCGCCACTGTCATTCTGTTGACTCGTGAGCAGTCTGTTCTTCACCATCACCCTCCAGTGTTGTTGCTGCTGAGCCAGCCAGCCATCCCTGAGCCCTTGCACCCCGCTTGTACATCTGCGATAGCGTTAAATATAAGTTGTTTTTACTGAGCTTTTAATCTCTGGTTCCTATTTCCAATTTCCAACAGTGTATTAAAGTACTAACTCCCCATCTCACATGAAAGCCTACATCCAGCATTCTACAAATTTCTTTCTCTCTCTCCAACATTATCATTTTCCCTATACCGGAAACTGCAGCTCCATAAGACAAGGCGCTGGATGGAAAATCTGCTTACAGAGAGGATGCCTTCACAGCTATGCACCCAAGTTTGTCCTGACTTGGCATCAAATGTTCAAAGGAGTTCTGTGCCTTGATATCTGTTGGAAAGGCTCTTTCTAATCACTAGGCTTAGTTACAATTCAGCTATTGCAACTTGGAATAAAGCCCCTGCAGCAAATTTTTAGAGCAAAGGGGTGAGGGAATATGTGTGCTATGGGAGGAAATAACTCTTGAGTTGTCTTGACAATTTTCCTCCCTTTTAAAGGTGTCCTTGAGAGTAGAACCCTATAAAGGGTTCCATCTTTTCTTCTCCCAACCTTTTGCCTAAAAGGACAAGTGAATCGTTTTGCGCTTGCTGCTTTCATTTTTTTCAGCCATAGGTACAGTAAACACTGAAGGTTTCTATGAAACCACTTGGCTTCTTCATATACCACATCCTTTTATTAAAGTTGCTGTTAATACCAGCTGTGTCAAATGCCCAACAAGAGTGAATGCAGAATGAATCACTGCAATTATTATTAGATTTCATAGAAGAATCATAGAATTGTAGAGTTGGAAGGGACCCTGAGGAACATCGAGTCCAAACCCCTGCAGTGCAGGAATATGCAGCTGTCCCACACGGGGATCCAACCTGCAACCTTGGCATTATCAGCTAACCAACTGAGCTATCCACTGGATTCATAGTGTAGTTATAGCCCATGCATTTTCTAAGAGCTGGTCTTAACCTGTAAAGCCTTACATGTCTTGGGGCCCCACGACCTGAAGGAACAACTCTTTCCATGCCTCTTCCTATATGTGCCCCACCAAACAGTGAGGTAATCTAAAAAGGTAAAGGTAAAGGACTCCTGACAGTTAAGTCCAGTTGCGAACGACTCTGGGGTTGCAGCGCTCATCTCGCTTTATTGGCCGAGGGAGCCGATGTTTGTTCACAAACAGTTTTTCCAGGTCATGTGGCCAGCATGACTAAGCCGCTTCTGGCGAAACCAGAGCAGCACACGGAAACACCGCTTACCTTTCCGCCGGAGCAGTACCTATTTATCTACTTGCACTTTGATGTGCTTTCGAACTGCTAGGTTGGCAGGAGCTGGGACCAAGCAACGGGAGCTCACCCCATCATGGGGATTTGATCGGCAAGCCCCAGGCTCAGTGGTTTAGACCACAGCGCTGCCCGCGTCCCTTTTAAGGTAATCTATAACTCTATAGAGCCCATTTTCCAGGTGCCTCCTCCTGCTGAAATTCAGAGAGTGGCAACAAAAGAAGTCTTCTCAGTGGTGGATTCCCACCAGCCTTTGAAATGAGCCCTCCAAGGAAACTCACCTGGCACCCACATGCAAAGGCTTCCCCTACTCCCAGATTCTTCAGCGGTTTCCAGACGTTTAGTATCCATAGTTGTTGTTTTAGTGTTTTGGGGGTTTTAACATCTTCTCCTAGCCAGTGTTTAATATGGCTTATTGGGACTGCTGCTTCCTTAAGGAAAATTCTGTGTGTCTTATTACAGACTTTGTTTAAACTGAGATTTTGTTATTGATGTTTTATTATTTACTTATTAATTTAAATGCTACTTAATGCCCAGATAGGCTTCCAAGCAGTTTACAGGCATAAAAACTAATTGTGAAAGCATTAAAATATAAACACCCATAATTAAAATATGCAAGAAAGCAGTCTCATTAAAACAAAGGAGTCTCAGGTCAACGGATCATGGGAACGACTGGTAGGATGCTTTCTTATGCATGCAATTTTAAAATTCTATTTGTGGTATTGCAAATTTTTGTTTTAACTGTACGCTGCCTAGAAGCATTTTGCATTAGGCAACACTTAAAATAAAATGCTGTTAACAACTACTAATACAAGCATGGAACAATTGTCATTGGTGAACAAATGCCACTGACCTTATGTTGTTCTTCCTTATGGGAGGAAGGCTGTCCCCCAATAGGGATGCCAATTGCCCACCCAGAGGTTGTGCATGTAATTTTAAATGCTCCACACCACTGAGAGAGGCTAGCTGCTCTGATTCCCTTCCTATACTGCCCTCCTTGCTCATCCTTCTTTCCCTCCTGCTTTTGTCTGGAAAAAACCCACCCCCACAAGCAAGTAGGGAGGAGGATGGATGAGGAACAGGCAGGATCTACCTGCTGTATATCAGAGCATTTAAAGCTAAAAGGACAGTCTTGGGCAAGGACCTAGCAGCCCTATGCAACCGACAATACTTCTGACTGTCACTGTTTACCTCCCAATGGTAGAACCAGGCTGTAAAGAATGTTCCAGCAGACTCCTAAGTTCATAGAAGGACCATCTCAATAAACACCCTTTTGCCCACCATCTGTCTGCGTGATTCCCAGGTCCCTGGATTGGTCTGGCCTTTGCTTGACTAACACAGTATGTGTTTGAGACTCATGCTTCCAGTTTCAGCAGCTAACTTCCAGGAACCTGTGATAAAGACTGCACCCTCCCAGCCAAAAGTCTGAATATGGTTGCCTGCAGCCTGTACATAAGTCTTTGGATTGCAAGAAATGGCCCCAAGTTCCAGGAACACAGAATCATAGAATTGTAGAGTTGGAAGGGACCCTGCAGGCGATCTAGTCCAACCCCCTGAAATGCAGGAATCTCAACTAAAGCATCCTTGACAAACACAGATCTTCTGTATGTCCAACTGCAGATATTGTTATTCGCCATTTTTAAGAAGCACACATGCCCTTCCTAACGTAGCTGCTTCTCAGCCTCTAGATGTTAAATGAAATAACTATATATAGAAATGAGAATGTCCGTTTCAGAAAACTAACATGACAGGTTAGGCAAGGGACACAATTAGAGCTGCTGGTGACAGCTCAGATTTTGTCACACAGGCAAACATTCAACTACAACGTTCCTATCAAATAGGCTACAATGCCAGAAAATAAGGACTGATGCATTTTTTTCTACACAAGCCAAAATCACAGCTATCTGGAGCAAGGAGATAGTGATGAGCAACAAATTGGTTAAAACAAAAACAACAAAGAAGAGAGTAATTCGTTAAGATTATGGGTGGCATTCAATTAAGTTTTACTGTCAGTAGACCCACTGAAAATTAGTAGGCCTAAGTTGGTCATGTTTATTAACTTATTAATAAATTAAACTTATTAACTGAGACCTTCGGGTATAGGGCAGTATATAAATCCAATAAACAACAACTTCAATGGGTCTGTATTCTGTAGGACTAGCAAATACCACCCCAAGGGTTGTATCCAGTGCAAGACTTACTCAGAGTAGATCCATTGGAGTTAATGAGCATAACTGCGTTATGTTCATCAATTCCAACGGGCCTACTCCGAGTAGGATGAGCATTAACTGTAAACCTATGGATAGAATTCAATGTTGCATTAAGTGAACTGTTCTGTCTGGCAAGCAGAAATGCTTGTACTGACGGAGCAATCTCCCCTCTTCTCCCTCCCCACATGCTGTTCTGGGGGTTCTTCTGACCACAAGCCAATGGGGGGTGCAGGGGGAGGAGAGCGGGGAAGCTCTAGCTGGGCTTGTTGCTGTCAGTTTGCATTTCTTAGCACAGAAAGTATTGATCTGATGTGTAGAGATCTTTCCTATTCTGATTAGTTCAATAGGGTTCTAGAACGTTTCTTCTCTTTGTGAAAGAAGTTTTATTACTATGTGAGACTTTGTGCCTGCCCATTAGGGGAAATAGGAAGCCCAGAGTATTTATTTTTTAGATGTCCCTTTTATGACGAGATACGCAGAGATACCATTGACCCTCAGCTGGAGAGGCTTGCTAACCTTTCAGATAAGTCTAAACCCAATTCTCTCCTCTTAGGCAAAGACCACAAGACAACCTGGATGGTCACCAGAGTCTGCGCGCAGATTTGCAGGCGCAGACCACCCCCTGAAACAAATTAGTTCACTAGGAATACAGTCGAAGTTGGCCTCCATGGTGGCAGGGCCAATTTGTATGGTAGCCCAAATTTTAGGTCTTTATGTGCATATGCGTTTATCTCAGATTTTAATCTTTAAGCTGTTGTTGTATAAATGTTTTAAATGTATTTTTTATTCTGGTGAAAGCTGTCCCAGTTGTGCTTTCTGGTCTTTGACTGTAATAAAATTATGTACGTATGTACTATGTGAGAGAAACAGGAAGGAGGTTTCTGATGTTTGGGTTATTTCTCTGGGGAGCTGAGTACAGATGGTTTGAACTGTTACTGTTATCTTTCTGCCAAGGTCACCACTAACTATAATAATAGGGCCAGGAGGAGCCGGGGTTTCACTCACTTTCTCTTCTATCTCTCTTTGTTCTTATATTCTGTTTCTGTATGCTATAGTGTTGTTTAGTCTTATTATAAAGAACCTTTTAATGAGGGTGAAAGAGGAGAGCGCAAAATATGGTCTGAAGCTCAACATCAAAAAAACGAAGATCATGGCCACTGGGCCCACCACCTCCTGGCAAATAGAAGGGGAAGAAATGGAGGCAGTGAGAGATTTTACTTTCTTGGGCTCCATGATCACTGCAGATGGTGACAGCAGTCACGAAATTAAAAGACGCCTGCTCCTTGGGAGAAAGGCGATGGCAAACCTAGACAGCATCTTAAAAGCAGAGACATCACCTTGCCAACAAAGGTCCGTATAGTTAAAGCCATGGTTTTCCCAGTAGTGATGTATGGAAGTGAGAGCTGGACCATAAAGAAGGCTGATCGCTGAAGAATTGATGCTTTTGAATTATGGTGCTGGAGGAGACTCTTGAGAGTCCCATGGACTGCAAGAAGATCAAACCTATCCATTCTTAAGGAAATCAGCCCTGAGTGCTCACTGGAAGGACAGATCATGAAGCTGAGGCTCCAATACTTTGGCCACCTCATGAGAAGAGAAGACTCCCTGGAAAAGACCCTGATGTTGGGAAAGATTGAGGGCACAAGGAGAAGGGGACGACAGAGGACGAGATGGTGGGACAGTGTTCTCGAAGCCACAAACATGAGTCTGACCAAACTGCGGGAGGCAGTGGAAGACAGGAGTGCCTGGCGTGCTCTGGTCCATGGGGTCACGAAGAGTCGGACACGACTAAACAACAACAACGTTTTATTGTAAGTGCTGCAACTGGATTTTTATGGACTGTGCCAATCCTAAATGTTTTAGATTTTGTGACCATTTATGTTCATTTGCCTTCAGTACCAGTAAAGCTCTGCTGGATGAAGTACAATTGCCTCTGGTCTATTTTTTGAAAACTCTGCTACGTGTTTTAAGTTTTTTCCTCCTCCTGCACTGGCACGACAGTTGTGCTGGCTTTCACTACTACAGGTATTTAATTGAATCTGGCACTATTTCTTTTCCGTGACTCAGAAGTATGTTTAAGGCTGTACAGGCAAACTAGTAAAGAAAGCTTCTGATAGGAACTCTGCTGCATGCAAATCGTATCAACTATTACCTTGTTCACTTCCATGATTTCCCTTCTCTCTTCGCTAGCAAAGAGAAGCTGGCTGGCTGCTCCTCGATCATCATGCTTAGAGCCATCCTCCTCGACATACGGAATGAGTTGCTGCAAATGTTAACAAAGCTGTTGTATAAAACATGCTCTATAAAATATACTGAGAGCTTTTCGTAGAACCACGAATGAAAAACCATGCCCTAAAACTTGTCAGCCAAGATAAATATGAAATTACAGAAACACTAGCTTTTTAAAATCACATTTCTATTATATTTATTTGTCTTTGGACATCTTAAAAGCTGAAGACAGCTACTCTTGTGCAAATGCTTAATACAAATTATTATTTATTAAATTTATATCCCACCCTTCTTTCCAAAGAAGCCTTGGGCCGATAAAAAGAAGAGATCAAACAGCTTTAAAGCACTTTAAAAACAATTCCAATACAGCTGCAGGCTGGGAAAGATCTCAAAAGGGTTAAAAATATGCTCCATGAAACATTTCCCCTCACATCCAAGGGGCATAAGCAGAAAATGAAATTCTAAAATGCACTGGTTCAAGCCTGAAACCAGAGAATGTGGTCCACAGAATGGGAAAGATCCAGCGACACACAAGTAGGCATCCACTTTGTTACACAACTTCCTCTTGCCCCCTGCAGCATCTCCTGCTCTGGAGATTGGAGGACCCCCCTGGAACAGGTTTTGGAGACATACTATGGGGTGGGAGTGGGGAAGGTGGGAGAAGAGAAACCAGATGCCCTGTTGCACAACTGTCAAGCAAGCGGTTACAATTGGATCTGTCACCGTGTTTCTGACTTACTGAAATATATACAGCATGATCTAAATATCTGTATCTCTCCTCCACTTACCTCTATTGGAACAGTTTCAAGTCCTGCACAGTTTTCATTGCATTTGTCATAGACCAATCTGAGTTTCCTAAAAAATATTGCGAGCTGACGCAGATGTTCTTGAAGCTTCCCTAATCTGTCTTGATATGTGCCTGTATGATAGGTAACACCATTTGGAAGCTGGAGGGGGAATGAATGAAATCCATGGTTACATTTCATCTACACTGAAAAATCAAAACAATTACAGAGATGCATATTTCTTGCAAACACCTCCCCCCAGCCATTAATGCTAACTGCAGTACTTGTTCCAACTAGTTCAATATTGTTTTCATTTATTTAATTTTATCCACTATGTGAATCAGCTATTTTGTACATAAATTTCATGAGATTTCTGGAACACACAAAGTACAGAACAGAGTTAGCCAGGTACTTCATTCCAGCTCATATTCTCCATAAAACTGTAGAAGTTTTGGTTCTGTTCTAAACTTGTTACAGCAAAGTGAGCCCCACCGAAATGAGTGGAATTTACGTCTGTTTTAGTACGCTAAGGATTGAAGGCTTTTGCAAAACCATTTTTAATCAATTATGAGGAAAGAATATTATTCTGCAAGTAAAGAATCTGGTGACAGAAATCTTTCCTAGGATGGTATATAAACAATATCTCATGGAGCAATACATTCCAGGGACTATATTCTGCACTTCTGAAAGAATTTTTTAAAAATGTACTTTCCCAGTATTGGGTATAAATTGGCGTATCCAGTGAAGATATTGAACTGTTTAAAAAAATTCAGAGTAACCAAAGTAGAACAGTACCTGCTATCCTCAAGTTGTACAGAGCTAAAGGAGTGTTGAGTTTATTTAGCAAACAACACAAGACATTTATTCCATACTGGAATAATAAAAGTATCCTGCGAAGAATTTGAAGAGAGCTACTGTCGTCATTGCTGCAGGCCAGTTAGTGCCAACTATAACTTTTATCTGCTTGTCTTGTTCTTGTATCTGTATCAATTTGAACCATTCTTTGTACACTTTAAATATTAAAGTGTTTCTATCTTTATATTACAGGTACTTTATATTACAGGTACTTGGCCAACACAGTGCCTCAAAGCCAACCCCTCCCTTTCACGTGCCCAAACTCTTTCCATACAACCTTGCAATTTGCCTGCATTTCCTCCTCTATATTTGACCCCATTCCAAGAGCTGAGAACAGAGAACGCATTCAAGTGGGTGGGGGAAGACACCAGGTGTGTATATGTGTGTTGTTTGTGAGGAAGAGAGAGAAACGGGTTTCTTCGCCTACTGCTGCCCACCTGCATGTTCCTCAACAGCTGGAAGATCTCCATGGTGCGAAGCACAATGTCCTGAACCGTCTCTTGCCCGATGCGGCACAGGGAAGCCGTGTTCACTTCCCGAGCGGCCTGGGATTGGGGTCCCGAAAACGGCCCGGGGGTCATCCCTGCTCCGGCCAGGGGAGGGGTGGACATGTTTGCTGCTGTGTGGAGGAAGGAGAGGTTAAAAAACCCAAAACGGCCTTGGTCCTGTATACCTGAAGGAGCGTCTCCACCCCCATTGTTCAGCCTGGACACTGAGATCCAGCGCCGAGGGCCTTCTGGTGGTTCCCTCATTGCGAGAAGTGAGGTTACAGGGAACCAGACCGAGGGCCTTCTCAGTAGTGGCTCCCGCCCTGTGGAACACCCTCCCTTCAGATGTGAAGGAAATAAGCAGCTATCCTATCTTTAAAAGACATCTGAATGCAGCCCTGTTTAGGGAAGTTTTTAATATTTAATGCTGTATTGTTTTAAACATTTGATTGGGAGCCGCCCAGAGTGGCTGGGGAGACTCAGCCAGATGGATGGGGTATAAATAATAAATTATTATTATATTATTATTATTAAAAACCCACAAAAAATACGGAACGTCAAGACATGCATACACGTGTGTGTGCCACAGCCAGCAGGGTTATATTTCTCTGCGCTTTCTCTACGGTTCTGTGGGCCTGGACCTGATTAAAGGATTCGGGACCCTTGGCCCTGAGCGGCAGCAGCCACCAACCCACATTCAGGGGCACCCAGAGGCACCTAGACGAGCCTCCTTCCGTACCGACCAGCCCGGCGTACTCCAGCGCTTTCCGGGCCGGGAGAACCGAGAGAGGCCGCCGCCGCCGCGAGAGGCGAGGAGACGCTTCCTTCCGCTTCAGGTACAGAGCAGCCGGGCAGAGAGCGCGCAGCTCAGATTAAAAGCGACGGAAGGGAAAGGAGGGGGAGACGCCTCGCGACGGCGACGGCACCGTGACACTACTTCCGCTTCCGGGAGGGACGACGTATCCTCCCCTTGGCCGTCCACTGTCCCTCCCGGAAACGGAAGCGGAGGATCTCTCCGCAGAGGGTTGTGTTGGTGGGTCTGGGAGCTTAAAGCAATGACGTATTATCCCGGGTGGTAATAAAGCAGCGGGGTATATGCATTAGTGCATGAGTATATACAATAGAATATTAATGGGGAGTCCGGGTGGGGAATAGAAGATAATTTATTTATTATTAATCTATTTATTATTAATTTATTATTAATTAATTTATTAATAATTATTAATAATAAAATAGCGGGGTATTTTAATTAGTATATAAGTATAGGCAATAGTATATTAATACGCAGTGTGGGTGGGGAATAGAAGAGAATTTAGTTATTATTAATTAATAATTATTAATAATAAAGTAGTGGGGTATATTACTTAGTGTATAAGTATAAAGGAAAGGTAAAGGTACCCCTGCCCGTACGGGCCAGTCTTGACAATAGTCTATTAATAGGCAGTGTGGGTGGGGAGAATTTAGTTATTATGATTAATTATTTAGAGGTGGGGTGTTTTTAATGCATTTCTTTAACACACACCCCAAATTTTAGTTTTAATGTATTTATGTGTTGGCTGGCTGTAACTCGGTTTGGCATGACGAAGCAGCTAACACGTTTAATAGACCGCTGAACGTCACGGTGCGGGAAGCGGTTTAGGTTTGTCGAGGGATATAAGAAAGAATACATCCATAAAGAAGCAGGATAGGATGGAAAGTTGTAAGAAATATCAGCATTCCTAATAAAGAGGCAGGACAGGGGAATGTAAGAAATGTTATTTCTTGCTCATTATTTAGAAGTAGGTGGAATGTTTGTAATGCCTTTCGCCCCCCGTCCCCAAATTGGTTTTAATGTATCTGTGGATGGGGGGAGGGGCTTGGCGGGTCGGCTTGGCTGTCAGTCGCTTTGGCGAAACAAAGGGGGCAAGCAGATAAATGAAATAACGAGGCAACCAGCGCCGGTGGGTAGAGGAATGTGAGGAAGATTATTAGTTAAACTGGTGTTAATGAAGTAGGCAGTGGGTCTAGAAATTAAGGAATATTGTATTAATAAAGAGGCAGGCAGTGCGGGTGGGATGGAGAGTATAAGAGAGATCGATATTAATGTTAATAATGAGGCAGGCAGGGTGAGCAGATAGGGGAGTATAAGAAAAATCATTATTAAAAATGCCAGCAACAAGATAATAATAATATGTGTAAGTAGGTTCTAGGTTTCCTACCATACTGAAAGCTACGCTGTGTCACCTGGAAACTTTTCGTTTAATTTCAGCCAGCAAGGGAGGGATATTTGCTCTGTAATGCTCAAAGGCATGTTTGTTTATTATTAAACTGTTAATAGACTTCCTAGATTTTGGCCCAGCAGGCAGGCTCTCTTTTAATTTTACTCTGTACGGCACCACAGGTTATTAAGAAAGAATCAAGTGTTATTAAATCCACTGCTTGCCCTTGCCCATCATCTTTCTTCCCACCCCCAGTTGTGTCACCAGTGTCAAGTTTTATCATGTAATATCCTTGGGGCAAGATGGTCCTACATTAAACAAATGTCACTGATAATACTTATTCCCTCACTGGTTTTCATGTCCATGTCAAGCAGTGCCCAATGTCCAATGACTAGGTTTAGACACCATTGGGCTGTTTTGATTTTTATTTGTGGGAGGGTTGACACATTAGTACCCAACTCCAGTAATGTTCAGTGTTGTAATTCTGCTGTTGATAGCTATAAGCAGCTTTCTCTTCCTTAAAAGGTAAAGGTAAAGAGACCCCTGACCGTCAAGTCCAGTCGTGGCTGACTCTGGGGTTGCGGCACTCATCTCACTTTACTGGCTGAGGGAGCCGGCGTACAGCTTCCGTGTCATGTGGCCAACATGACTAAGTCACTTCTGGCGAACCAGAGCAGTGCACGGAAATGCTGTTTACCTTCCCACCAGAGCGGTACCTATTTATCTACTTGCATTTTGACGTGCTTTTGAACTGCTAGGTTGGCAGGAGCAGGGACCGAGCAATGGGAGCTCACCCCGTTGCGGGGATTCAAACTGCCGACCTTCTGATCAGCAAGCCCTGGGCTCTGTGGTTTAACCCACAGCGCCACCCGTGTCCCATTCTCTTCCTTAGCTCACTTAAAAACAGCTTCTCATCGTGAAGCTGCCCAAACAATGGTTCTTATTTACCCTTCATATCCCTATAAACATTTCTATATGTCTCTCTCCTTCTGTTCCAGCCACTCCATAATTCTCTCCCCCACACACACCTGTTTGTTTCATTTTTATTTGCCTAGGGTTTCATTTTTCGAAAATATTTTGGGATTTCTGCTAGCCTTAGGGTCGTCCTGAGTCAGTACCTCTGGCTTGTTCATGGGTGGAACACTTTCAGCTACATAAGCATGGCTCAGATCTATGAGTATATACTGTACAACTGGAGTCTTACAAGAAAGAAAGAAAAGCTTGCGTTCAGGATTCTTGAACATCATTCGGTGGTCCCTTCCTCTTCCCCCATGCACACACACCTGCATCTATCAGTCTGCATGCCCACTGAATGTGCTCAGTCCTTGCCTGTTTGGTGTTTGTTTTTGTTTGGTTATTTTGAGTGGGTGGGATGGACACACTTGTGCCCAGTCCCAGCTACATTAAATTAATTCATTTCTCAATTGAAGCCTATGGGTATCTCTTCTGTCCCTGGGAGCACTTAAAAATAACTTTTCAGTGTGAACCAGGAAGGAAGGCATGGCACACACACATGCATCCAAAGTGAGGCTGGGTTAGGTAGCCATGCCATTTCCAGTTATGTGTCCATTTATTGCTTTGTGTACAGGCTGGCCTATTTGTCCCAGTAGTCCCGAGAAGGGCATTGTTGGCATATGATGGCCACCAACGTGGATGGAGTTAAAAGGGGATTAGACAAATTCATGGAAGATCAGGCTAGTACAGTGGTACCTCAGTTTAAGAACAGTCCGGTTTAAGAACGATTTGGTTTACAAACGCCACATAACCGGAAATACAGTGGTACCTCGGGTTAAGAACTTAATTCGTTCTGGAGGTCCGTTTTTAACCTGAAACTGTTATTAACCTGAGGTACCACTTTAGCTAATGAGGCCTCCCGCTGCTGCCGTGCCGCCGCAGCACAATTTCTGTTCTCATCCTGAAGCAAAGTTCTTAACCTGTGGTACTGTTTCTGGGTTAGTGGAGTCTGTAACCTGAAGCATCTGTTACCCGAGGTACCACTGTAGTGTCTGGGTTTGAGAACTTTACCTCAGTCTAAGAACAGAATCTGAACGGTGGAAGGGTACCAGCGGCAGGAAGCTTCATTAGGGAAAGCGCACATCGGTTTAAGAACGGTTTTGGTTTAAGAACGGACTTCCGGAATGGATTAAGCTCGTAAACCGAGGTACCACTGTAGCCATTGTGGTTATCTACTATCAGCACTGCTGGAGGCTGTTGGAGGCAGTATGCTTGTGAGTTTCAGTTGTTGGGAAATACAGGAGTGGAGAGTGCGGTTGTGCTCTCATCCTCCTTGCAGGGTTCCCAAGGGCAAGTATAGCCACACTGAGAACAAGGTGGGCCATTGGCCTGATGTAGCAGGGCTATTCTGGTAAGCCTGGTGGTGAATTATAGAATCATAGAATCATAGAGTTGGAAGAGACCACAAGGGCCATCGAGTCCAACCCCCTGCCAAGCAGGAAACACCATCAGAGCACTCCTGACATATGGTTGTCAAGCCTCTGCTTAAAGACCTCCAAAGAAGGAGACTCCACCACACTCCTTGGCAGAAAATTCCACTGTCGAACAGCTCTTACTGTCAGGAAGTTCTTCCTAATGTTTAGGTGGAATCTTCTTTCTTGTAGTTTGGATCCATTGCTCCGTGTCCGCTGCTCTGGAGCAGCAGAAAACAACCTTTCTCCCTCCTCTATGTGACATCCTTTTATATATTTGAACATGGCTATCATATCACCCCTTAACCTCCTCTTCTCCAGGCTAAACATGCCCAGCTCCCTTAACCGTTCCTCATAAGGCATCGTTTCCAGGCCTTTGACCATTTTGGTTGCCCTCCTCTGGACACGTTCCAGTTTGTCAGTGTCCTTCTTGAACTGTGGTGCCCAGAACTGGACACAGTACTCCAGGTGAGGTCTGACCAGAGCAGAATACAGTGGCACTATTACTTCCCTTGATCTAGATGCTATACTCCTATTGATGCAGCCCAGAATTGCATTGGCTTTTTTAGCTGCCGCGTCACACTGTTGGCTCATGTTAGATGGACCTTGGGAAGGATTAAGCAGAGCTCCTTCGTTTTTGCATTCTAGAGCAGGCAGGAAAAACAGTGGTTATACAGCCCTCAGCTGACAACCATACACACACAGGGGGACTTTTGGATGAAAAGAGCAACCAGTTCAAAGAAACTGTGTCAAGGTATTCTGTATACTGATGGGACTCTCTTGAATGACAGTCAAAACAACTACATCCATATGGTGGAAGGGATGGAATCACGCCTGCTTCCTTTCTTGTGCTGAGGCTGATAAGAATCAAAGTTCCCGTTTTTTGTAATTATTATCACACTTAGGACAGTTGTTGTAATGATTCTGACGCTGACCGCATGAGACGGCAGATGGGGGCATTTATACACCAATGCTTTGCTATTTTATTTTTTGTATATAAAAAACGACAACAACTATGCAGCGTTTCAAGATCAAAGAACAGGGCTGGAGTGGCGTTGCTGTGTTAAAACTGACGGCACGTACATTCTTCTGTATGCAGTGTGTAATGCTTGTAACTGGTTACGAATCAAAAAGTGCAGCTTGGTACACAGCCTTACTTAAAAGGGAAAAAAAGATGAAAGCAGTCAAGGAGCATTTAGGGATGAGAGCTGTATAAATTTTTGATAGGATTTAGCTTGCACAGTAGAGAGCTTTACTAGGCTTGCCATACGTCCGGAAAATTCCGGACACGTAT